TCTCAATAAACAACAAAACCAGCACAAAATCCTCATTTCATTTCTGTATTTTTGGGGTTTCCACTTTTGGGGTCCCCCCAAAATCGCCCTCAGGGGGTCGGGGGGGGTTTTCCCCATTTTTTGGGTTTTTTTTGGGGTGAATTTGGGGGATTTTGGGTCCCTCAGAGCTTCTGGAGCCAGGCCAGGCCGGGGCCCTCGGGGGCGCAGGGGTGCGAGGGCACCTCGGGGTGCCGGCCGTCGTCCCGCAGAGGAACTGGGGAAATTTGGGGGGTCAGGGGTCCCCAAAAACCGGGGGACCCCAAAAACCCCAAATTTGGGATCGGGGGAGGGAATTTTGGGGGATTTGGGGGGTTTTGGGACATTTTGGAAGGATTTTTGGAGGGATTTTTTGGGGTCCCAAAGGGGAGAAATTGGGGGAATTTGGGGGTTTTGGGGGAGATTTTGGGGGTCAGGGGTCCCCAAAAATTGGGGGACCCCAAAAACCCCAAATTTGGGATTGGTGGGGGAATTTTGGGGGATTTTGGGGGTATTTTGGGACATTTCAGGGGGATTTTTGGGGTTTTAGGGGATTGTTTTGGGGTTCCAAAGGGGAGAAATTGGGGCGATTTTTGGGGGGTTTGGGGGAGATTTGGGGGGTCAGGGGTCCCCAAAAATTGGGGAACCCCAAAAACCCCAAATTTGGGATCTGGGGAGGGAATTTTGGGGGGTTTTGGGACATTTCGGGGGGATTTTTGGGGTTTTAGGGGATATTTTTGGGGTCCCAAAGGGGAGAAATTGGGGAGATTTTTGGGGGGTTTGGGGGAGATTTGGGGGGTCAGGGGTCCCCAAAAATCGGGGGACCCCAAAAACCCCAAATTTGGGATCGGAGGAGGGAATTTTGGGGGGTTTTGGGACATTTTGGGCGGATTTTTGGGGTTTTAGGGGATATTTTTGGGGTTCCAAAGGGGAGAAATTGGGGAGATTTTGGGGGAGATTTGGGGGGTCTCTGGGAGTCCCCAAAAATTGGGGACCCCAAAAACCCCAAATTTGGGATCAAGGGAAGGAATTTTGGGGGGTTTTGGGACATTTTGGGCGGATTTTTGGGGTTTTAGGGGATTTTTGTGGGGTTCCAAAGGGGAGAAATTGGGGAGATTTTGGGGGTTTGGGGGAGATTTGGGGGTCTCAGTAGTCCCCAAAAATTGGGGACCCCAAAAACCCCAAATTTGGGATCGGGGGAGGGAATTTTGGGGGATCTGGGGGGTTTTTGGGTTATTTTTGGGATTATTTCCAGGGTTATTTTGGGGTGTTTCGGGGATATTTTTGGGATGATTTTGGGCTGATTTTGGAGATATTTTGGGGCTGATTTTGGGGATATTTTGGGAATATTTTGGGGCTGATTTTGTGGATATTTTGGGGCTGATTTTGGGCTGTTTGAGGTATATTTTGGGGATAATTCGGGGCTGATTTTGGGCTGTTTTGGGGATATTTTGGTGATATTTTGGGGCAGATTTTGGGGTGATTTCGGGCTGTTTGAGGTATACTTTGGCGATAATTCAGGGCTGGTTTTGGGCTGTTTTGGGGATATTTCGGGGATATTTTGGGGCTGATTTTGGGGTGATTTTGGGGATAATTTGGGGCTGATTTTGGGCTGTTTTGGGGATATTTTGGGGCTGATTTTGGGGTGCTTTTGGGCTGTTTGAGGTATACTTTGGGGATAATTCAGGGCTAGTTTTGGGCTGTTTCGGGGATATTTTGGTGATATTTTGGGGCAGATTTTGGGGTGATTTCGGGCTCCGTACCGGGGTAGGTGTAGGGCGTGGCCTGGTTGATCATCCCCGAGTATTTGGTCAAGGGGCTCAGCAGCGGCGACACCAACGCTGGGGAGGGGCACAGAGAGGGGGGGGAGGTCAGGGGGACCCCAAAAATCCCCCAAAACCCCCCAAAATTGCCCGAAACCCCCCCGGGGCTCACCCAGGGCGGCGATGCCGACGCTGGCGGCGATCACCGGCTCCTTGGCCCAGAACGAGCGCAGGGCGGCGGCCAGGCCTGGGGAGGAGTCAGAGAGCCAAAAAGGGCCAAAATCGGCCCAAAATCGGCCAAAATGGGCCCAAAATCGGCCAAAATGGGCCCAAATAATGGCCCAGAACTGACTAAAATACCCCAAATGGCCCAAAATACCCAAAACAGCCCAAAAACGGCCAAAACCAGCCCAAAAACAGCCCAGAACTGACTAAAATACCCCAAACTACCCAAAATACCCAAAACAGCCCAAAAACGGCCAAAACCAGCCCAAAAACAGCCCAGAACTGACTAAAATATCCCAAACTACCCAAATACCCAAAACAGCCCAAAATAACAGCCCAGAACTGACCAAAATACCCCAAACAGCCCCAAAATGCCCAAAAATAGTCAAAACCAGCCCAAAATACCCAAAACAGCCCAAAAACAGCCCAGAACTGACTAAAATACCCCAAACTACCCAAAATACCCAAAACAGCCCCAAAACAGCCCAAAATAACGGCCCAGAACTGACTAAAATACCCCAAACTACCCAAAATACCCAAAACCAGCCCAAAAACAGCCCAGAACTGACTAAAATACCCCAAACTACCCAAAATACCCAAAACAGCCCAAAAACGGCCAAAACCAGCCCCAAAAACAGCCCAGAACTGACTAAAATACCCCAAAGGGCCCCAAAAGACCCAAAAATAGCCAAAAGCAGCCCAAAATAGCCAAAACCAGCCCAAAATAACAGCCCAGAACTCACTAAAATACCCCAAATGGCCCAAAATACCCAAAACCAGCCCAAAAATGGCCAAAACCAGCCGAAAAACAGCCCAGAACTGACTAAAATACCCCAAATGGCCCCAAAAGACTCAAAAATAGCCAAAACCAGCCCAAAAACAGCCCAAAACTGACTAAAATACCCCAAACTACCCAAAATACCCAAAACAGCCCCAAAACAGCCCAAAATAACGGCCCAGAACTGACTAAAATACCCCAAACAGCCCCAAAATACCCAAACCCAAAAATACCCCAAACCAGCCCAGAAATACCAAAACCAGCCCCCAAAAACACCCAAAAACACCCCAAAACACCCCAGAAATGCCCCAAAACCAAACCACCC